CAGCCTCTCCTTTCTAGTTCTGACAGTGTCATAGCCATGGTCTATTTTAATCCCTTATTTCCTGCAGCCTCCAAGTGTGATTCCCTGTGCCAGATTTTAGGAGCTCGCATTGTTTTACAAGTTCATGCTCAAACCAAATTGTCAGTTTGAAATTAAAACCCTTTTAGCAGTTTGGCTTTGGCCAGAGTTGTAGGTGTGAGTGACAGGAGAGCTGAGCTCCCCCACACTGTCCATTAGCTGGGATCAGCCTCCAAGTGCTCCACATCCAGGAGGAATAAATCCCTGGTAGACTTCTCTTGGCGGGGGGCTGGACAGGGATAAGTTGCTGCTTACATTAGGAATGAAGAGAACAAATTGTGCACAGAATTTTAAAAACCATCCAAATAAGATGGAACAAAGAAATGAATAATAAAGCACAGACTTGTTTCTAGGTCCAGTTCAGGGCAGGTCTGTTTAAAATAAGCATGTGTGAGGCAATGCAGTGAAAATGAAGCACAGGAATAATATTGGACTCCAAAGCATTTCGAAATGTGGGACTGTTTTCCAGCAGTTTTCTGCTCCTCTTGACTCTATTATTTAATTTAAACAGCAGCCCCATTAGTTTCAAGCTATTTTTAACACGTTCATTGCAGCAATGTCGACTCTGGGCAGCCTTAAAATAAGATTGGGGGACTTTGTGTGGCCATCTGTGGGCTGGGAGCACTGCTGGCATTCCCACTGGAGGAATTAACTTCCCAGTTCCTCCCAGTTCCTTAACTGGGAGGTTAAATAACTTGCCAAGGGGCTCTTGTGTGGTGAGAGGTGGGGAACCCAAATCTCCTGGCTCCCACTCTTTGCTTTAATCAGATGTTTGCCCGAGTTTACTCAGTGTTTCCTCTTGCACCAGTCATTGACATCCAAAAAAATTCCAGTTGGGAAGGCAACAAAAATAGCAGAACTGTTATTCTGGCTGGGCTGAGTGTCCCTCCTTGTCTGCTGCACTGGTGAGCATCAAGTGAGAGGAGGAGACACTGTCAGTCCCTGTAAATGGACTTTAATGGAATAACTTAGGGAGACACATATTGTTTGTCTGTGTCCATTAATCTTTCGCTTCTTCCCTGCAGCATTTGGGGTTTATATTAATTATATCTGTGTTGGCTCTGTGGATGTTCTTGCTCAAGTAAATTTTTAACCTCTTCTTAAAATAGTCTGTCATGATTTCACTCGCTGCTACCTAGAGCATCCTGGATTTTCACATGGTAGTGTGTTAATCACTTGCTTAATTTGCATCTCATTGAATATCTCCTTGCTGGTGGATTTTTCCAGACTTTACCATGCCTTGCTCTATCCAGCACACGGTTTCTTTTGCCCTGTGCTGAGCAAGCCCAGTTAGTGCCACTGACAAAGATTTCACAAGAGACTCCTGTTTCTCCTTTAAACAGAAACTTGTTGTCTGTGGGCATAAAACATCCCAGTTGTGGGAGCAGCCAGATGTTCACATCTCAGGGATTGTTCTCATCTGTAAGGATTTTAGCAGGACTGACCAAAAAAAGGGTGTTTGCCTTTAATTTTTTACCCTGAACAGTTTAACAGGGGTGGAAGAGTCTGTGCAGGGGCAGTCATGGATCGGGGTAATATATTAATTCTTGGATAGTTTGGCATTCTGGATTTTCTGACCTAATTTCTGGCCACAGACTGTGTATAGGCTGTAGGATTTTTGGCTTTTTAAAGCAATTCTAGAGACTGTAAATTCTGTTGAAGAAGCACCTCATGGTCTCTCTGTAAGCACACCCTGAGGCTTCTCCATTTGTAGGAAAATGCAATGAGGTCTGTGATCCTTGGAAAGGGCAGCATGTCTGGGAACATCCCAGGGTGTGGGTGCCAGAACTAGGGAATGACCAGAAGTGGGAATCCTGCCTGTCCCTTGCTGGTTAATCCCTGTTTTTGTTGTGTCCCAACCTCCAGCAGATCGACGGCGAGGCCTTCCTGCTCCTCAAGCAGAACGACATCGTTAAAATCCTCAGCATCAAGCTGGGCCCTGCCCTGAAGATCTACAACGCCATCCTCATGTTCAAATCTGCAGAAGACAACTGAGGAGGGCCCTTTGGGCACATCCCACAAGGAATTCACAGGGAATGGGGTCTTCAGCTGTGAGCATTCCAATGTGCCGAACGGGCGGATTTCGGGACTCGGACGTATTTTAAGTAGAACTTAGTCAAGATATTTTGAGGTTATAAAAAATCCTGCCACAGTCTGGAATATGGGGCAGCTTCACTTCCAAGAAGAGGATTATTATTATATTTTGTAATTGAATTTGGTTTTGATATATCAATCTCTTTTGGAGATGGAGAAGAAACCTCCGGTTCTAAGGGGAATCCAGGGTAGCATTGGTGGAGCTGCAGGAGCAGGAGGAAAGCTTGGAGTAAAACTGACTCTGTGTCCATGACAGTGCCTGAAAGAGAGACTGAGTGATCACCAGCGAGTTGAACATGTTCTGTATGTGTGAAAGAGAGAGTGAGGAAGGAGGAAAAAGGTGCACTTAAAGCAACTCCCCCATGTCCTTCACTGCTGTGACTCAGGAGCTGACCTTTTCAGGACTGTTAAATTCCAGTGTCTCCTACTGATCCTGGTGGTTCTGATCCCCTTGGCTGCTGGGCTGCTTAAACCACAGCAGGAAGGGAGTGTGGGCAGAGGGTTTCCATCAGGCATTGCTTCTGCCAGCGAGCAGAACCCTCATTTAGATCACCAGGACCTGTGCAGGCGGGCTTTGGGTGGGAAAAGATCCCTGAAGGAATCTCCCACGGGAGACAAAGATAAATGTTTTAGCTGTAGTTCTCCCTCTGTGCTTTTGTGCAGCTGCTCTCTGGGCCAGGAGCATTTTCTGGCAAAATGGCACAATCAGGAGCACTTGGGGACCGGGTGGGTTTGTTCTTGTCCTCTGCACTGTCAGCCAAAAGCTGGGAATAGGAGTTGGAAACCCAGCAGTGGCCACAGCGTGTGTGTAAACAGATTTCCTAGAAACAAATGGCTTTTCTTTTGGACAATCCAATCTGATGAGTGTGGAGTGCTTTGGCCCTTCTCCCCTCCAGGTGGACTTTGGAGGGTCCTGTGGGGCAGAGCTGCAGCTCCTCTGCCTGTTCAGGAGTGAGGCAGGCAGAGCACACATCCAGGGAAGTTGGACTGGAGAGGAATCAGGGTTTAAACAGACAGTAAAATGGGGTGGGAATCACTTCCCAAAAGAGCTGAGGTGCATCAGGGAGGGAGCACAGCCTGTGTCCCTGTACAGGCAGCCTGTGCTCTCCTGGTGGGAGCACGAGGGCTTCCTGCTCTGCTCAGAGCCAGAGAAGGAACAGAGCCAGTTTTAGGAACATGCCCTTGGCACTGTGACATCCTGGATGGGGTTTCCACACTGTTACTTCCCAAGCTGTCCTCTCCCCATGGAAACCTTGGGAGACACAGTGAACACCTCGGTGTTCCCGCTCCTGCCTGGCAGCACAGCAGCTCCTGCTTCCCCCTCTGGATGCTCTCCCTGAGATATTTGGCTGTTGTGGAGTTTATCCAGGACCACCTTAGCTCAGACAGCCCTCAGAGCCCTTCATCCAGAGCTGCCAGGCTGAATCCTGCATGTGGGAGCCCTTCCAAGTGCTGGAGGTGTGTTTACCTCTGCCAGGGCTGTGGCAGTTTCTCAGGGCACTGCATGATGACATAACCCATCCATAGGCACCTCAAACTCCCTTGGCATCTCTGCCAACAGTGTTGCTTCCCCAGAGCCATTGGGAACAGGATGAACACACTGTCCATGGCCACGTGGTGACACAAAGTCCTTCCCTCATCCCCCACGTCCTTTGTCCAACCTTCAGCTGCTGGGAAGGTCCTGGTGATTTGCCTAAAGTAGGAAGTTCCTTAAAATTGTAAATACAGCAGAATCCACCCCACTGAAGCCATTCAGTCCTGGAATAATCATTTAGAGCAGTTTGTTTCCATACTCTTATTTTTTATAAGATGTTTAAGCCTTCACAGAGAAGACACAGGGTAGGTGGGATATTTAATATCTGGAACATTAAATATCAGCCAGGCAGCTGCAGGAGAGAAATTCACTGCAGTGGTAAGGACTAGGCAAGAGATTAATTTAGTGTATTAAAATGCATTTTTAGTCTGATAACCAGGATATTCACCAAAGAGTCCCATTCCTTTATCCTGCTCTGCACATCCAGCATCAACGTGAAGACTTGAATTGTAAGTGGCATGTCCTGGGCTCAGACAGAACTCGCCTTCTGGGCAGAGCAAAATTGTTTCCTGACAAGTGGAGCAGAGGATCCAGAGCTGGGCTGTTTTATTCCTGGCTCTCCACTGACTTGCTAAATAACCCTGAGCCTTTCCATGCTCCACTTTCCCTCTCTGTGACACCCAGCCAGGTGGGGTGAGTGCAATTTTGCCTTTCTCTTGTTCCTAACGAGCAAATCCTGCCAGAGTTTCTGTTTCACCTCCTCCCTTTGGGAACCTGAGTTGGGGGACAGCAGATTGCCTCTAGCACTGAACCAAAATATAATATTAATTTCATTTCTTTTTACTATATATAGATGGAGGATGAAGAGAATCGGTTAAACAAGCAGTGAGATTCTAGTCAGTGAAATTATTCAAACAGAAGAGAAATCTTTAATCCTTGGGGCTTCCAAGCCAGCTGGATCAAAGAGGAAAATGTGTTCTTGGAGGTTGTTCAGTGACAGCCAGCACAGTGCTTTCAGCAGGGGGGAAGGAGGAACCTTTTAGGGCTGGAAGAAGGAGGAATGTGCTTCTTGTGCCTTTTTTTGTAATCTGATAATTGTCTTTGCAGAGCAAGCAAGAATGTGCACACATCTATTACCCACTCCTTTCCCAAATATAGCTGTATTCCAATAAAATCCAGCAACTTCACCGGGCAAAAGGATTTCAAACTCACTAATATTTACAAGACAGAGAAAACAACTAAACCAGCTCACTTTTTAGCCCCATAACTTAGGAATTCGTGGGTTGCTGATGCTGTTGCACTTGTGTCAGGGATTGTTGCTCTCCTGTGTGTCCTGATGAGTTGTTCCTGCTGCCAGACTCTGCCCCAGGCCCGTTCCCAGCCCTGCTCCAGGCCAGGGCTCTGCAGATGCCTTTGGTTTGTCTGATGCCTTGTTGTCTCACTCGAAACGTGCACTTTGAAGCAAAAAAAAAAAGCCCAAAGTCGTGGCTCTGCAGGGAGCAAAGCTGAGGCTGGTTTGTTCCAGCTGGGACTGGGAGGATTTGGGGTCTGCTGGATGTCAGCAGCAACCAGTTGTTGGCCCAGCTGAACCCAGGAGCCACTTAGAGATACAAATATATTCCTCATAAGCCCCCCAGAGCTGTGACAAGTTCCTGTGGGCCGGCAGAGAAATTGGGAAGTTTCAGTTCTCCAAGTGGGTTTTATTCCTGGCTCTGTTTTTCTTCCTGCATCCCTGTTTTTTTGAATCCCAAAGCAATCAATTTTTTTTCTCTCCTTTTCTTCTCCTCCTGTTGGAATTTTTCTGTGCCATCACCAATGATCATCCTTGTAATCCAGTAGCAGCAAATTCCAGCTCTGGGTAATGAATCCCATTAAGGTTGGACACTGACAGCAAAACTCTTCATCCAGAGGGAAAAACCCAGCACTGAGCCCAGGGATAAGCTCGTTCAGCTGTACAAGATTTCCTGCCTGCTACTTTCATACCCTGCTTAGGGATTTTATACCACAGAGAGCTTTAAAGTTTCTGACATCCCCTCCATCATGTGATGAGCCAGCTTATTTTGGAGATTCCTGTTACTTGAACTGGAAACACGTGCAGGGGAAGGGAGGAAGGCTCAGCTCAGCCTCGGGAATGTTTGCCTGTTTGAAACCAAATACTTGAGCTTTTCAACACTAGCCATGCCCTTGCACTCCACCGATGCTTTCCTCTGGAAATGTGAATAAAATTAATATAAGTTCAGAGCTGGTTTGTTCATTCTGGGGCTGGGGCTGGGCAGGATTGCTGGGCTGGCTCTCACTGGGGTGGGATGGTCATCACGTGTTTCCTCCCCCCTAAACCCAAACCTGGCACTCACAACACAGGCAGCATTTTCATCTTTTATCCCTTTTTTTTCTGTGTCTATTACCTCTGTGTTGGAGCTCTCTTTGATCTGTGCACAGAGCAGCACCAGCCTTGGCTGTGGCTGCACCTGATCCCTAATTCCTCACTGTCCTCTGCTGCTGACAGAAGGTTTTAATGATAGAATCCTTGGAAAGGACCTTAAAGCCCCTCTAGTCCAACCCCCTGCCATGGGCAACCTGTGCCAGGGCCTTGCCATGCTCACAGGGAAGAATTTTCCCCTAATATCCAACCTAAACCTACCCTCTTTCAGTGTAAAGCCATTTTCCCTTGTCCATATGAGAAGTCCCTCTCTCTCCTTGTTGTAGGCCCCCTTTAGGCACTGGAAGGGGCTCCAAGGTCTCCCCAGAGCCTTCTCTTGTCCAGGATGGACACCCCCAGCTCTCCCAGCCTGGCTCCAGAGCAGAGGGGCTTGATGGTGATGGGAGCAGAGCTCAGCCTTGCAAGTACCAGTCCTTAAACTCCAAACCCACTCAGCCAAGGCCAAGAACCTCCCAAACTCTCCAGGAGACCCCTCCAGCCCCTCGAGTGGGTGTGCAGATTCCCCCAGGGAATTGTGCAAGGATCTCAGCACGAAGGACAAACCACTGGGGGCTGACATGGAATAACTTGAGCATTCAGACAGGCCAAAAAAATAAACTGCAGGTTTTTCCTGCCCAAAGGAGAAATATGAACTCGGGACAAAAAAAAAAATTCCATGTTTGCCTGAGCAGAGTGACCTGCAAGTGCAGTCAGCCATTTGGGTGATTGGTTCATCCTGCTCTGTTCAAACTTCTCCATCAGGGAAATAAAGACCCTTTCACAGAGAAACTCAGATCTCAGAAGTGTGAGGGCATCCCAGCAGAGTCCAGGCAGTGTTGGATGTTCCCGAGGCTGCACCAGCCATTCCCAACTCCCCAGACCAGGAATCTGATCACGGTAACAAAAACAAACAAGCTGAGGGTTTTAAATAGAAGCAAAAAAAAACCTTGGAAGGGAAAAAAAAAAAAAAAAACAACAACGAGAGCAAATGTTTATACCCTGAGGATGGGACAGTTTAGGAATTATGGCTGGGAGCCAAATCTCCCAATACTTTTGGCTTCAGAAGGTTTGCAAACCTTCAGCTGCCAACGTGACTCCATGCCCTGATCCCCTGGGATGGGTGACCTGCTGCAGGTGTGGCTTTGGGAAACCTCAGAGGGATCAGGAGGAAAAGTTCAACACCTGATTTTGGGGCACATTACACAGTGTTTTGCAGTTTATCAGATAACTGCAATTAGAGCAGAAAGAGGTGAGTTAATTATCATTGCTATGGGCACACAGGGGAAGAAGCCCAGTGGGGCATTAAGGAAGGGAAAACAGACCCCAAAATGCAGAGTTTAAACGTTGATTCATACTGAGAACAAGTTTT